GTGAGAAATATGCAAGTATACCTGGTTGCCTACCAATCACAAGAATGCACAGGTGATACAACTTGCACAAGGGCAATATTATACAGAAGGTTCTAAAATTCACTGAAGAAACAAATGCAATTACAATCATAAATAATGCTTTATAACAAACCAAACAAATGCATGTCTATTCTATAAGTTTTTGATTTAAAATACGTACGCTTGACATACGTACTAAATCCACAGAACGACTTGCCTATTATTTTCATGAACAGAAAAACAATTCTACCAAATAAATGCTTGCATGTTTAAAACATATAAAGGCATATTAATGAAGTAACTAGAATTTCATCAACATATTCAAGCTGATTACCGAAGGTGTTGGGAGGTGGAGAATCTACATGGTGGTGGTGTCCAGCTACCAACACTGCCCTTGCACACATATCCAGTGACATGTAGTAACCCAAGTGGATCAATTCAATCCTGGCAAACCTTTATTACACCCTACCCATGACCTACCAAGCAAGATCTACATGGTGCTCAGTTAAGAGGAGTCAAAAATCACACTAAATTAATCCATACAAGACCAGTCAGGTGGATTGTACAAGATGGTATCCAATTCATGTCCATAAACACTTAGCTGCCAACCTACTTGTTGGCACACTAAGTTCAAGACCCAAATGGGTCAAGACCTACATCCTCACAAACTACTTACAGAACCAGCACTAGAATGGTCTAGTTTGGGTTCTACTACACAAGCTGCATTTTTATCTCTTCAAAACACAAATTAACACACAAACCCACATTTGAGTGAGTGAGGTACCCTAGTGTGAACGTAGTTTTTATTGCAGCATTCGTGTGGCAACATACTTGGCGTCTTATATATTAATCAGCCTCTGCTGTACATGCTCAAGAAACCGTGTTCTGCTAATCCTGATGTAATGTATAAAAAGCAGAGGAGATATACAAGGGTGACTATTATTTCAAACAAGAATTTTGCAATGAAAAAAATATCAAACCCAGTGGGGGTCTTAACTTCACACTGCACACACAAATTGAGTTAGGGAAGTGATATGTGAGACCAATGCTAAAATTACCCAGGTTCTGGAAAACATAATGTGTACTGGAAACCAATTTTATCAACAATGAAAGATACAAGAAACATGACTACAAAACTTAATGCTCCAGAAAATAAAGGTTTGGGTAAGTATGCAGTGGTAGTTAAGAAATTAGTGGGCAAGCTTTGGTTCCATTAGTTCCCACATTCAAGGGAGAAAAGAACTGCACAGTCAAGGTTAAGTTGCAGTCACATTATTGTGGTTCACTGCAATGTTCATAAAACTTAAGGGTAAGATTTTAATACTCACATGTTGGTATTCCAAACAAAATGTGTGAAAGTGAAACTAATTAATTGAATTTTCTTTGACTATACCCTGCATATATATAAAAAAAATTCTTATGAATCCCTAGTTGGCTTGGTTTTTCTTTTCTTTTTTTGTTGTTGAGGAAATAAACCTGCCCCCAAAGAAAGGTGAATATAAGTTCGTAAAATGAAATGGTTGTGTACTATGCAGGAACCACAATCATGTGGGTACCCAAAATGACTATCAAGGCAAGCTGCACCGTTTCCTATATGGAGTTATTGGATGCAATCTTTAATTCTGATTAATTCATACCATTACATGTTCAGCAAAGGGTCAAGCTTGAAGCTAAACAACCACAATTGTTGTTATTATGAGGATCAAATGAACAAAAATCCATTCAGAAATATGGTCAAGTTTCCAGTCCCACTCTATATTGTGACAGCAGGCTACCGTTTCAATAAAATACCGTAATATCTGAACGCAGCACAAAAAAGAAATAAATCTTGAAAAATCTTGAATCTTTTTTGAACATCTGAATAATAATAATAATAATAGATAAATCAAATAAAAAAGCAAAGAAAAGAAAGGTCCAAACAATTAATTCATAGTGGGGGGCCAAAAATGTAGACAGTGCATTATAAAAAGCTACAATCATGGCAAAATGTGTAAGTACTGTACTTGACTTAAAAGATGAAGAACTAGCGAGTACTGAACAACCTTACGTTGGTGTGGGAAATACTGGTTACGTAGTATAATGTATGGGATATATCCATGGAGACACCATCAAGAAATTTAAAAGTTAGATATAACAACAGGTTGAAGATTTTTCATAAAGTATAACAGGTAAAAGATATTAAATATTAAGAAAAGGGTGAACAAGTGTCTAAATGACACAGTAATGTCATTCTTACAGCCTCTCCATCATACTGAATATTATGTATGGGCTACACAGCTGTGAATATGTTCCAGAAGTAATAGGTATTTATACGAGGGACAATTCAGCTCTGAGTGCAAACTCCTACGTAAAACTGAACACACAACAACACCTCATAGGACTGAGGACTACCCAATTCATTTAGTCTGCTTTTAAACTGATGGCTTCCTTACATGAGATGGATGACTATTTACCATTTTCTTTTAGCTGGAGAAATGCCAAATATTTTATACTGGATAGTGCTCAAGATATCAAATTCAAAATCCAAAGCAAAAACTTGTTACTGGTAATGATGTCAGACTCCAAAAAGAGGAATATCAAAATATTAACGACTCAACTCATCGGTAATTAATTTAACAGTATCAAAATGATTTTTTTAATGCGAGAATATAGTCCTGTAACGTCCTATGATAATAATAGAAAAAAATTAATTACACAAAGTATCTCCACAAGGAAGTGTATTTTGCCTCAAAGTCCCACTTAAAACATCCATCTCATATTGGAAATATGCCATGAAAAATTGTGTCGTCTTATTCTGACTTTCTAAGATTACCTTCATTTTGAAATCATAAAAAATTACTCGGATAGTACGTACTGAAAAGCCAGTACTTCAGTTTTATCAAAGAAAACAAATAAAATATGATGTAAGTAAATACACATTTAGTGCATATTTAAAAATAATGCTACTTTACTTTAGATTATGCTCTAGCTTATTAATTTTCATAGCAGAAGTAAGGAAGAGCATTGGTAAAAATTTATAAGCAGTATGGAAATTAACAAAAACCTTACACCAATACAGGTACCTCCAATTATATATATAAATGGAATGTACACAACTCACTTTCTGAAGATTATATGGATTAAATTTTATTCTAAAATTTATTTACAATTAATAATCCAAGCAAACAAGAATTATATAATTAAGGTATTTACGTAACAAAATTGATGTAACCAAAGAAATCAACAGTTACATGACTTATTAACTGTATGTCGATGACATACTATCCAAACATCTTAGGGTATAATAGGTTATAGTTAAGTCAGGATAAGAATGCAGTTCTTAATATATCATACAATGTAGGCAAGAGATTCATTGCAGAACTCCAGCACTACTGCAGTCACTTTGCTTGAAAGGATCTTCTGATTGCTGCATTGAAGTGAATGCAAAACATGCCAAAAGCAGAATTAAAAAATTTTGATGATTAATTGAAACAAAATATGCACCTATTGGCAATTTTTTTACCACTTCTGTTTAAATAATAGCCAAATTAGATAATCATAATTGGTGGTTAGCTTTTGTCCACTAGTAACACATGCATTCTGCAGAAGGACCAAAATTAACACAAGAGAAAATACTGCAGCATGCATACAGCAAGTTGACTACAAACAGCAGATGTGGCAAGTAACTCATGTGTCCAATAATGTCCACAGCATCAAGGATTACCAATACCTTTGGTAATATTGGTGTGTCTAATATTTATATATGGGGCTTTCATGGACCCCATAACCTAAGAAACACAGAGAGCTATTCAAGCTGTGTTGAGGCTATGGACTTAGCTCCACACAGCCTGCAAGAGCTTCTATGATAAGTGGTGTGACTTAAATTTTCCTTCTCTATTATTTTTTTGATGTTCATTAGGTACTGCACAGTTATCTTTTTGACAAAGGGACTTGAAACCACATTTGAAACAACTTTAGTCAGTAAATTCTTCAATAGAGGATTTTCAGTTGCATACTGGTATTTGACTTTTGCAAGCTAATCATTTAGCAGTTTTATGCTGTTAAACTGCATTAATATTACGTAAGCCTTTTCATTGAAATCTTATGCCAATTCAATTTTGACAAGTATCTCTCACATAGCTTCAATGCAAATACCAATGAAGGTCACATTATAATTAAATTCGATGCTGTCTTCCTTTCTCTTAAGTCTGGCTTTGACATACTGTACTGTATAATAGATTTCTCAGCATTATAGACTTCTTTTTTTTTGTATTTTATTGTTTTTTAAACAGCCACAGTAAGTTAAATTCCAGCCACAGTAAGTTAAATTCCAAGTCTTTTATGACCATGATCATGGAAAAAATTCCCAATACCAAGTGTTCATGGTTTATAAAACCACTAATTCCTTCAAGAGTGGTCGTCAAGTATGGGCAAAGTCACATATAAAAGGGTGAAGTACCGTGATGAGGGCTATTTCTTCTCTCGCCGTCCACCCCTATCAGCACTGCCACCTCTATGATTCCTGTGATCGGGTGGAGGTCGAGAGTAATCCCCTCGGCCCTCTTGGCCTCCTCTACTGTCATGACCTCCCCTACTGTCATGACCTCCCCTACTATCATGACCTCCCCTACCCTCATGACCCCCTCTGCCATCATGACCCCCTCTGCCATCATGACCCCCTCTGCCATCATGACCTCCTCTGCCATCATGACCTCCCCTGCCATCATGACCTCCCCTGCCGTCATGACCTCCCCTGCCGTCATGACCTCCCCTGCCGTCATGACCTCCCCTGCCGTCATGACCTCCCCTGCCGTCATGACCTCCTCTGCCGTCATGACCTCCTCTGCCGTCATGACCTCCTCTACCTTCATGACCTCCTCTACCTTCATGACCTCCTCTGCCTTCATGACCTCCTCTACCTTCATGACCTCGACCTGGCCCCCCTCCTCTCCCAGGTCCACCCCGTTTCTCAGCATTTGATATATAATCACTGAGCGTATTACCAGTTCCAGAACGGTCGTTATTGTAGCGGTCTCCACCTCTGCCGCCACCTCTACCACGACCACCCCGTGGGCCACCTCGTCCCCGTCCACGGCCTCCCATCTCCATATCACTGTTGTAACCTCTGCAAATGAAAATATATACATGTAGTCATAGTAATAAAAATATATTAATAAAAAATATCAGAGCTGTGTTTGTGAAACCCTCATGACTCCTCTGGTTGAAAAGATCTATCAAAAAGCTTGTAAATCTAACCATATAATAGTGTATATGGATTCCTATAAATTTTCACGGCTCTAAGCTGGACACTTTTGACATAAAACTTTGGAATGAAAACAAGTACATACAGGGACAATCAAATCATTCTGACCCAATATGTAATGAAACCATAAAAATAAACCAGGACACTGCCACTATCTGGCAGGCCAAAAAAATAAATAATAAGGAACACAGGTACTGTACAGTGCAATTCCTTTTATCCAAACTCATTGGGACCAATGATGGTTCAGATACCTGGATGTGCCTACAAAAACATGCAATAATTAACAATAGGTTCAAAATTCAGTTCAATGATAACTTGACTCACCGGGAAAAGGAAAAAACTGAGGATGAGGTGGCCTGTGAGATGGCATGTTGCCATTTTTACATGTAATGAAACTAATGTATAAAAGTTGTGGAATAATCATTAAAATACTCTAATGTGGCTTAGAAATGAAGAAAATATAATATAAAATTATAAAATAAGAAAAATGAAGAGCACGGGTGTGTATATGTGAGAAGTGAACGTATTTGTGGAGGCACTGGGCTGCAACTGTGTCGCCGACTCACCAGCCACCCACCTGGCCATCGTTCCCTCCCCCGATGTGATATCACAGCATACACACACACCTCAGAGTCAGCTGGTTTGAGTGTGGAAGGAGCTATTTTTTGTACATACACTATGTGCTATTATATTTTATGATATCCTCCGAATCAATTTTATTGTTTATCATGCCATGAAATTAGAGCCTTCCATCAAACACAAAGTCCGACGCGCTTGCAAACAAAGCGGTTACAGCGCCAGTGGTGGCAGACATGCAAACGAATGACTTCTGTTGCATCCATGATTTTGGCAACAACACATCACTATTCTGCCATAATTTTTGCTTCTATTATCTTTAGATATTGTCTTTCATTGTGGAAATGCCCTTTTTTCGGTTTTTAGTATGTGATGGTGTTGTTTTCGGTGCTCAGATGAAGAGGATTCATAAACTCAAAAGAGATTCTTAACATCTTTACAAGTTAGGAAAGGTTAGGTAAGGTTACTCTACGACGAACAATGGAAGGAGAATGGTGTAGCGCGTGGCTGGTCTGAATCGCATTACCATGCTGTATAATACCTAAAGATAATAGAAGCAAAAGTTATGGCAGAATATTGATGTTTGTTGCCAAAACCGTGGATGATACTTTTGGAAAGAAAACATTCAAACACCCTCAACCTAAAGCTCCATGCAAATCATACAGTGGGAAAGTAATGTTCTGAAGCAGCTTATTGATTTTCCTCATTTGAGAATTAATGGAAGTGTGAGTGATTTCTTAAATCTGAAGAAGTGACTTGGATGTGTAATATAACATTGATTACTCAAAATCTTTATGGATAGAGCAATATGAGAAATGAGAGCAACAATGGGCGACTGTGGAATGAAACAGAGACATGATAAGAGCAGAAATTGTCATATTTATTGTATGCAGAAGATAATGGGCTGAATGTGAGGGAGAGTTAGAGAATATAGTTTGATCTAGTGTGCCTGAACAAAATGTTGAATGTAAATCTTGGAAAGAGAAGGACAGTCTCGGTGAAATATCAAAATGAGCAACAAGCTGGAGGTTGCAAAAGACATTTTGTACTTGAGAGCAATGTTCAACTAGGGAAGAAAGAGTAAACTTTAGAGAGTAATCGAGTCATGAATTGAAATAATGAGGCCCTAAGAGCACAAAAACTTAACTGCAATGTCCCACATGAATTTTTTGAATGCCAATTTTAACACTCATAAGGCACACGTGTCCTAGTACACCTTTTCACACTACCAACACCTCAATAAAGCTCTCAGCTGACTTTGTCATCATAAAAGATACATGTTCATTGCTTTTAGTAAGTCTGTCCCACTCCCCTTCACAATCCCCCTTCCTTCCTCCCTCCCAGCAGCTAAGCCCCCACACACTCACTGCATCATGACTGAATAAATGTAAATTATTTTTTTTTCATTTTCATTCTTCTGAATGCACATCTTTAATATTATAAGATTATAACACGTTTTTAATGGTTTTATTTTTATTTATTTATCAATAGCCAAGGGCTAACGGTTACTAGCCTGAGAGTAGTGTGTGCAAGAAGCCTGCAAAAAGAAAATTCAGACCACAATGTTATGTGGCCCATTAGAAATTTTGAAATTCTAATGAAATCATAAAGTCCAAAGGTCCCAAAGTATCAAAACAATTAGGAACTCAAGAAGCATTTATAAAAATATCTAATTTTAGTTTTGTCAGACATAAAACTGACTTAAACTACAAGAAAATTACAAATATCACTTCTGCCAAATCAATGAATTCTTGGGTGTTGTGGATCTAGAAGTACAATGGACAGTTTAAAATAAGAGAGATTCACTTAAGATTCGAAACTGCATAAATATCACTTTAAAAATGGACATTTTGATTCTGAAATCCTGTTTTCTATGTGTGCTGGGACTGGGTATATCAAGCATAATCAGTAATTCTAAAGGGTTACAAACCTAGGCTCACCTAGGATTAAATTTTTTTGGCTGGAAACTAAACATTTAATAAAAATAAAAAATTAGGCAGACCTTCCCAACTGTACCAGATTTCTTGAAATGGGACACTTGGTAAAATGGCATCTTCTTTGAAGAGAAAATGTTATGAATCTTCACCACCATGTAACACTCTTACTCCTTGAACCTCTTGGTGACTAGGCCACAAAACAACAAAAGCAGGACCAATCACCTCAGACCTCAGTTCCAGTCAACTCAGCAAACCCAATGCATGGAGGGACCTGGATGACAGGTCTGAGACTTCATCCCAGATATGAAAACCTAAACTAAAAGGAAATCATATAAAAAGTAACTGATTATCTCATAAGAACACAACATCACTATTTTGTGACCCCTATAGGTAAGTAAATCAACCTAGACATCTCCCTGTGTCCGACAGAAAGCAGGTTCAAGTAGCCTTAAGAAGTTCACCATGAGCCAAGGAAGACTTTAAGATGGGTACAATGCTTCAGCATGGCTTTACCTAGAGTGATTCAATGAGACTTCTAAGAAAATGAACATTATACAGTATACCAATTAGTGAGAAATAAAGACTCATTCCACTAAACATGTGGGCTGGCTGGTGAAGGAGACTTGTCTATTAATATGCATTATCTTCAACTTTCACAGTATTTGTTGTGAGTGAAGTCACATAAAGGGGATGCAAAGTAATGATGACAGGGTATTCTAGGCAAAGCGCATCAAATATAAGCATTAATTTTTGGCATGAAACCGTTATTATCATCATTTGAATCATAAAATTTGACCATCAGCCTGTTCAAAATGAAAACCCTTACAATGATATTTTTTCAAGTCCTACCATATCGCTTAGTACTTACCGACTCTACCACTTGCTCATGTTCTATTTTCTGCTACTTCCAAAATCTACTTGTGTATCTTCTCAAAGCCTTTCTTTTGCTACATTCAACAAGTACTATTTTCAAGTCATTCTTTTACTATCATAAGTGTACCTTTCTGTTTTCCTTGTTTTCACCCCTTTACTTTCCCCTTGTCTATGCCTCCAGAGCCAAATATTCATTCTTTCAAGACATGTTCTCAGTATAATAATGGTTGTTCCTCGTGTTCGAGGTTGGCTAGCCCTAAGCAACCTAGGCATCAATATGTTTAAGGTATGGAAGCTGTCACCAACACAACAACCACACCCTAACTTAACGAGCTCTCCAGGCAACCTGCCAACTGCACAGGCTATCCATTACCCTGGAACACGATCCACAAATCAATTAACATCCAGGTCCCCAATTACTGCTGGGAAGACAAATGGCCTAAAGAAACATGCCCATAGTTTACCCTGCCCTGGGATCAAAACTAGGTCCACTCGCTTGCAAGGTGAGCCTGTTGACTATTACATCATACTTGTGGAATAACCTAAAAAGCATCTACAATTCCGAAGCAGTGTCTTTTGATGTGCAGCAGTCTTTAGGGTCTTGTAAGAATAGAGACGATCACTTAACTGAAATGCCCGAAAAGATTCTATGTTTTTATTACCCTCATTCCTTCCTCATTTGTGTAGAGTTGACTATAGACCAAGTGACACAGAAGCCTTAAGAAAGGAGAGAAATGGTACAGGAGAGGAAAAACAAGAGTATAAGCCACAGAAAAAGACTCAAAAATCAGAAACAAATACTCTGCATCGTCAAATCCTCACAGGAGTTAAAGGAAGGGACAAAATGGGAAGACTTACAGCCTGATCTTTTTATTTCCTGTTTATAAATGAAAAACAAAATTAAAACAAGTAATCCTTTAGTCCATTTGAAATCCTCACACAAATTAAAACATACAAAGCAAGAACTAGTAACTCACCTATCATTTCTCCTTGTTGGATAACCCTGACTATTTCCTAAGCTGTTTGTTGTGTGCATATTTCTTAATTTCTGATCAATTTCAAGTTTTTCTTGTCTTAGTTGTTCAACTTCCTGCAGAAAAAAAAAGTCAAATTAGAGAAATACAGTTCCACATCTATCATTCAAATGTTGATAGTGTGTGATAATAAAATGATTCAACCATACAAATTTACTGGTGGATAACTATGGTCTGCTCCTTAAATGTGTATATACTGTATGTTGGAATAAGAACACAATAATCACTAACATCACCATGAGACCAGTAGCCAACACTATAACCTCCAGGAGAAAAAACTTCTCAAATGACTAACAGCTCAGCCAAGTAAACCTCACATATGACATAGGAAGTGATGGCTATTGTAACAACACTCACATACATCAGCTTATCTACTGTAGGTGTAATACTTATGCAACCTCCTTTAAATTCCTTTACTGTGACACGTTAACTTGATGTACAGGCAGTTCTCATTATACGAAAGGGATAGGTTCTACGAGTCAAGAAGTGAAAGTGATTTTCTCATATTGTTATAAATGGAGAATGCATTCCTGGAGGCTAATTTTCAGACACTATACACAACCCAAACTATCCCAACTAAATTCAAGACATAATAAGTCAATAAATCAAGACAGAATATCACAGTGGGAAGGATAGTGGCATAAAACACACACACATTTTCTTTGTGCTGCCAAGACCTTTCCTGAAGACAGTACACGACCATTTTTCACTTTCCACCCTGGATCCCTCCCCCACACCACTAAGCAATATGTATGCTTTTTGCCACATTAAATCTCAGGTCCTAATCTCGGTTTAACCCTGTCACTTCATACCATACAACATCTCCTACCATCTCCTCCAAAAATAAATCAATTCCGTACTCTCCCCTCACATTCAGACACATTGCTGTTTCCTGTTGTCCATCCGCTCAATTCTAATATACATTTCACTTCATCCTTCCAGTTACTCTGTCTATGCCTCTCCCTCTTACTGTTCACCCATAAACTATCGATTCTTGTTACCAACCTTTAACTTCCCCTTTTCTCAGCATGTTCATAACACCTATGTAGGTCCTGATCCAAAATATACCCAACACTTTCTTTAACCGTCATGTATTTCTCAATCCACTGACTTATTTATTTATTTGTTACTTTGTTATTCTTATCATTCCTTCTGAAGAAATACCCTCTCCCATAAAGATGAAACAAACAACTACATTCCATCTCCATATAACAATATTACTAAAAACATTAAAGAAAACCTTTTAGCACAGTACAAAGAATCACTTACTTTTAAATGTGCTAAATGATATTCAAGTAGAATGGAAGCATTTGCAATGGCCTCAACTGTGCCAACAAAGACAAAAGGGACCTGTCCTTCTGTCCGGGGTGTCGTGGGCTCTGGTTCATTGTCTCCTTCAATCTTCACCCGCACCACCCCAGACTTATCTACCATTTCTTGTATGACACGGCCATTCTTGCCAATTACTTTCCCTACTAAGATCCGTGGCACTTGCACAGACTCTTCACTATATTCTAACATACACCTTGCTTTTTTTACTGCTTCTTCAGTCTGGAAAACAAAAGAAGGTGAAACTGTTAAACTGGTTCAAAAGGAACAATTTAAATACTTACTGACCTATCAACGAACAACAATAATTCTGCAATGTCATTAGTAACCTGTGAGCACTGAAATCTAAAATATCATGGGAGTATTACTGTAATACTGTAAAAGTCCCTGCTTCTAATATTAAGGTTTTTGCAGTAACAATCATTTAGATTTGTGCATCACCATAAAATTCTTGATTTCTGAAGCACATCTACTTTTACAATACTGTATCCAGTCCATTATCAAGACACCTTAGATCAAATAATCCACTTTACCTCTCAATATAAAACTGATATGTAATACTGAGTTGCTGTTCTAAGAAAAATAGTTCAACATGGAGTTAATATAAGCAGTCAGTTTCACATTAACTATACCCTCCAGTAAGTGAATGCAATACTGTAATAGCAGAAGCTGGCAAAATCTTCCACTGAGGAAGAAATCATAAACGAGCAGGTAACTATGAAACAAGAATGAAGTCGTCTAGTGTTTCTAGAGACCTGGGGTTTACTATGGACAAAGATACAGAATATGACACTGTTGACTGAACAAGGAAATGAACTGCATTGATACTAGTGTATCTGAACAAGTTAAATACAAAGACAGCTACTTCAGAGAGGATGAAAATCTGTGAAAGGATGGTCAAGGCAAGCACACAACTTTCAAGGTGTTATCAAGGTTTGCTATGTTCTGGGCATTTACCATGCATTAATATATTTCTTAGAATGCACCATGTGCATAGAGATATTGTCTTTAACACAAGAAAGACTGACAATATGGTATGTCACCCCTTGCATCTAGATGGCTAATACCATGTAGGGCATTAATATAAAAACAGTTAGTTTTTCTTCAAATAAGCATTTTTTTCAGATGTAACTTCTATGTAGTTTCCTACTAACTAACCAGTAACCTCCACTTCATTTGTCTAACCTTTGACAGGGTTTTGTATTAATTACTATAGTTCAATGTGTCACATGGTTTTTTGTTGTCACGGATGTTTTTTTCTTTTACAAAAAACGTATCAATTCACTGAAAATAATACGTATATAAATAAACAATCCCCATAAAACAATACTGGCTTGATAACAATCCTTTACAGGTTATATTTAGAAGAAAAAAAATTGGAGTAACTGAAATTAAAATTATATACGATAGTTGAATTTATTGTAAGCACCGAAGTGAAATAATTTAAAAACATTCATAAAACCAAAACCACAGTACGCACCTCACCATAAATCTTAAAAACACAGGTATTTTCTTCTAATTCAATATTCGTTACTCCTTCCACCTTACGAGCCTGTTGTATATTTGCCCCATGTGCACCAATGGCAAGACCCATGAGGTCTTCCCGTACACTGAACTCTTCAACATACCTGAAATAAATTAACAGTCATATAGTGCATACAAACAAGGATGTATATACTTGATGTGCAGTGCATGAAAAATGACTATGGTAATGTGGTTCTTGATAATGAGAAAAACAAGGATGCCTGGAGAAAATACCAAGATTGACCGCTGAATGAGGAAAAAAAAAGGCTGTTGGTAGTCCTTATCTCAAATTCACTACCTTTGCTCAGATCAAATTGACAACTTGAATGATGAGGTCTAACACTTCTTTTCTATGAGCAGGAAGAATGCAGTGACCAGATACCACATTTTGATGCAAGCAGTGATGCCTGAAAGCTTCCCCAAAATAGCTGGGGCACCATCGGTACAAATGGACCTCTATAGGATCCCAAGAAAGGCCATCAGATTTGAAAAAATCATTCATGATAGCCAAAATGCCTTCAATGATTCTTTCAGAAATTCACAAAATGGGAATTTTTGTTTGATGTCATTCTCATGTGTATGTCCTCTGATGTGTCCTTGATTCAGTCATGAATTACATTATTTGACAAGGGAATTTGTGAAATGCTTTGCTTTGCTCTTTTCCCACACACACCAGCTTGACCAATTCCATATGCATGGTACAGGTATCACCAAGGTCTCTGCATTGGTATATGGCTTCTTCTCTTTGGCTTTCCTTAATGCCACAGCAACAACTCGCCTCCAATGATGGCTTCTTCTGAGCAACAAATTTACAATTGGAGATTGTGCCCCTTGCTTCAAAACTTGCTTTCTTAGGTATGAATGAAGTTGGTGTCTTTAGCATTATAAGGGTAGACAGTTTGGATGGCTTTATACCTTCATTGCTAAAAATCTTTTGAACTCAGGAAGATTTGAGGCTTTTGAGTACCATCTTTGTCACTCATGAACATATAGCCATACTGCATATACAAAACTTGATAACACTGCTTTTTCAACATGACAAAATTGTAATTAGAGTAGGCAGCAGATCTGAAAAAAAATGTAAATTATATTATTTGGAAACAAGCAAGCAAAAACATTGTCTGAAAAAGCTTTTCATTCTTTTAATACAATACCACTACTTGTTACTACAGGAGCTCTTCGGTTTACATAACATCGATTTACAAAAATTCAATTACGTATACAAAAAAATATATATTTCCAGCGCTTTGGGATACAAACGAAAATCCTGATTTACAAAAAAAAATTTAGAGCATTTTTTCATAGCGCAGGAAGATGCCGAGTTGATGACACAGGCATTTGAGAGTATTCCATGCTAAACACAAAGTAAGCAGTGTACTGTACAGTAGTGCAGGCTAGTGTGTTAACGTTTCTGTGCTTATACAGTGTATATTAAGGAAAATTATAAACTAACTTTTAATTATATCTATTTACATTGTTCATGGCATGTTGCCACATTAGATTCGTCACTGTAGCCATATCTCCCTATTAGGCAGAGCTGTGAACTATGTTATGGTTATTTTTCAACTCGTAATTTCAAGTAGATATAAGTACGTATTCTATTTTTACTCTTTCATACAGAATGTGCAAAAAAAAAAAAAAATTAAATAAAATGTATAATTAACATAAAATTAAAAACAAAGGGAATAAATATTTCTTCATGCACAGGAGTTGGCACAGAGATGGGGGAGGTGGGAGTGGTGTGGGGTATCTCAGCTGTTAGCCATCTCCTGTGTCCTGTGTGTAGTGAAACGAGTGCCAAATGGCAATGCAGTATTTTTTTTATCTATTAGCATTACTTATATTTCTTCTTCAAAACTCAGGTAACGTTCCTCAACATTCTTAATTTTCACAGATGCTTGGAACCAAGTGCACGCCAGCCACAACAGTGTGCTTGAAGTGACTGGATTAAAAAATCTTCCCAAAATATCCCTGAGTGGGGGATTTGACAGGTCTTACGTTGCTCAGGGCATGAGGATTAAGTGTTAACATATCAAGCAACTCTGTTATGTTATGTAAGAGTTTTGTATATATTTTCTACACAAGTAATTCTTACTTAATCATTAGCACTTCATTTTCAACTACTGTACAATACAAGCAACAAACAATTGCAGATTGCAACAAAATGAAAATTGTGGTTCGTGGAGCTATTTTATTGTTCCAAAAATCAGATCTCATAACTGGTCCATCAGACCAACCTGAGTGATAATCAGTAATCACTCTCAAGATGGAGCAGCTTTTCCCCAAGACGGGTACTCTGAGAAAACAGTTTCAGTGAATCTGTAAGTGCTCAAGCCAAATATACTGTTTATTCCTCAAATTGTATCCCTGATGAAACTTCCTGTACCTTATGCCCCCCCCCCCCCCAGATTGGGAACCACTAAAACTGTAAAAGGTCACCACTGAAAAATCCTCCTCATGCCTGATTTTTTAGATCTATATGATGGGTTACATGGGTTCCCCAATTCACACAAAATATATCCAATACAGTAATTGTTTATCATCTTTTATCTATTTTGGGGGAAGAATTAAAACCTTCACATCTTGACAAATGTAACACAGTTCAGATTGAACATGCAGTCAACATGACTAAACCAAAATACTGTATAAGCCATTGGTAAGTACTGAGACATGTTCAATAGCCAACAAAATAAAATCACTGGAAAACTCACCCTGCTGTGGACTGAAGTTTGGTTGATTCTAGTTGTTTTGCTGCCTCTTCTGTTCGATAAAGAAGTACTACTTTCTGTTTGAGGTTTCGGAAATGCATGTCAGATAACATATGGGCCAACTTGAGACACTGATCATTCCGAGACTATGAAAAACAAAAAAGCTAATGTTAGTCTGATAAAGGTAATGCAATTGAAGCATAAGAGATAATTAGAGAATACCTAATTAGTATAAATGTCAAATACTGTACATTAGGCCATCAAATGCAGTAGTTGACCCCTTGCTAATATAAGTTGATCAAGCCCAGTTTATGTTTCATAGCAATGAAGACAACAGAAACTTACTATTAAGGTCAAGCAGTGTTTGTCTGGGTTGTATACACAACTGGTTGCTCCACACGCTTTCTTGAAGGGCTTGTGAACACTTTCCATCCGAGCACTATAAAAGGAAACCAACCAATTGTATTTATCTTCAGTCAGTACAGGAAGGGGGGGTATATGTACAGTATCAAAATGTGCCCCATAATGTAAATACATAATAGTGGTTTAAAATTATCATTCCCAACTTCCATAGAATAGAATTGTTTTTTGTCAGTAAGGACTCCACTTTCAGATGAAAACAAACCTATAGCTACAGTAAATGTGAAATTAGAATAAGGTGTCAAAAGCAAGTAAAAGAAAATTAATAATTCAGGTACGGTACAGCAGTGTGTGATTTTTTTTTAGTACAAATTATAGAAAAAATTCCATACAATACTACCACCCTTGCCTAGAATGGTATAATTTATTATGGTAAAATGAATATTTATTTGAAATTTTTTACATAATATAAATAAATGTTTTAAATTTCTAGAGAGTTCCTGGTGGTTAAATACTGGATATCTGAGGTTATATTGTAAAATAATTAAATAAAAAGGAGCTCATCCATAATAAAAACTTTATAAAAGTGAAATGTAATTTTTTTCTAGTACACATCCAAATTTGAAGAGCATTATGTCAATTTATTCTGTTATAACCTGAACCTTTCCTAATTATTCCTCTATTATCTACACACTACTGAACTTTCCCATCTTTGTGTGTGGTAGAACATGGGAAACAATAACTTCAAAGAAATGGGGAAATAGAAGAAGCAGTTCAAGACAAACACAAAAAGCATCAGGGGGCCAAGACACTGTCCCATTTCAAAATCGGTATAAATTTACAGTACAAAAACCTATAAACTACTTTAACCAATAATTAAGACTTACTTTTATCAACAAATTCACTTACTATTCTCTGATGTCTTCTGGAACTTCTATTTCAACCTTTGTAAAGGTTTTTGGAGTAATTGGAGGATTTACATTTCTCGGCCGTACTTTCTCTGAAGGAAAGATGTTTTCGCCACTTGTGATGGACACCCCAGTAAACTCTACTACATGGAAATCTCCTTTAGACATCTGCAATATGAGGACAATGATAACATTATAAATATCTAAGCATGAAATGCAATATGCAGACTGTGCATTTTATTTGCCATAAAAAAGTCAATTTGCAGCACAAAGCACCAAATCTAAAATAAAAAACAAAAATAATTTTAGCAAAACTAGCTTAGACATCATTTTGGTAAGAAATTTTCAAAGCAAAACAAAATAATGAAAAAAATTTACGACGGGGTTCCATTCTGACTACAAGGTCGTAAGTTGATCGGGTCGTAAGTCGAACCGACGAAAATAATACATAGTACAGGTATTAATTATAAAACTTTTACCTTTTTAATACACAAACTGAGCGGGATACGACGTGGATGCTGTACACACGCGGCAGCGTGCCAGCCGAAGTTGTCGTAAGACATTATGACCAAACGTCTGGACTCAAAAATAATGTAAAATATTTTCATAAAATATAACGACAATGAGTCTTTTTCCAGGTTGTCGTAAGCCGAGGAGAGACTGTACTGTACATGGTACACTATGAATATATACTGTACTGTATAGATGTCTATATCCTCCTAGATGAAGCATGAAATCCCATTTTATTGCAAAGGGTCCTGTAAAACCTATCATCCATATAGACAAGGAATGGAAGGAACTACAAGATTTTTTGGTTCGAGGAATGCATCCTATTTTCCACGTGGCTCTCACTTGGCTTAGCCGTCAAGATTGTTATTGTAACTCTGGATCTGTATTTTTCTAGTTAAATAAACTGTTTCAATATCAAGTTTATTAGAGATTAATCAATATGTGATCAAGTACCAATGGAACTTACTCGCTCAGCCTTTCAATGTTGCAATTTGAAAGAAAATTTTAATTGGGAAATAGAAACATCTACTCGACCTGAATCAAGCCTTGTTCTTAATGGTTTAAGCCAAGTCACTGTGAAGGTGCAAAAGCTTTGATTGTAAGGGATTTACAGGCAATTTTCAACACCTCAAATAAAAGATAAGATGCAAAAATTTAGCTACAGTACATGGTAAGTAAATTTTTGTGGTAGACACTCCAAAAACAGATAACCGGAAGGTTTAAAGAATGACATACCTTTATAGTTGCTTTCCAATAGGCAGAATGAGGTGCGGTCATAAGCTTGTCAAAAACTTCAACTTCAGCACCTTCAGGATATTCTACGGGTGGAGGGCCCGGAGTAGGTGGTATTCTCACACCTGTCATGGCCACCCGAGTTTCCGCACACCAATCCCCTTCATATCGAACCAACACTTCATCTCCCACCATATCCAAAACAGAAGCCTGGGAAAAATTTATTACCATTTTATCTCAGGTTATTTAAATTAGAATAGTGTATAAATAAATAATTTTACCATTATAAAACAAATAAAATCCACATTTATGGTGTCATGTACTGTATAATCACAATGAAACCCACAAATAAATGTTTGCAGAACTGAACCTATCACCTATTCAAAGCACAACATAGCTAAGGTACCATATACATAGTGTAGATACCGGTACATTTTACTTGTCCGAGTGCAAGTCAAAATATAAACATATCAACCTTGTGGGCCTCCTTATACAGTACTGTACTGTATATGCATAAGGACTACCTGCCTTTAAGATTGTCCACAACAACAGTTTTTGTTGCAGCCATTCTACTGCACATTTGGTAACTCTCCCACTAATCAATTAACACTATCAACTATTCTTTCCTTGTTTCCTTTGACATTTCTAAAAGTTTTGATAAGGCATCCAATTCTCCTTAATAAAATTCCATCTTTTGGTCACCCAAAATAATTAGTCCTTGCTCACTCTCTCTACTTGTTCCACATTATTTACCTTCTCTTCCCTCCACCAGCATACAATCATTTGATTCAAAAGTCAATCTTATTCTAATGTCCAAGTTCAGTTAGGTCTCCCAATAGATTGCTTATACAGTATACGACAATACGTACTGTACTACATATGCATTGAACAGATTTTGAGTCTATGCTCAATGGGGACAAACAGCCTGGCTGTATTTAATATCACCGGTATTATCAATAATGTCCATTAACTCCCCTATTGTACCGTATCTGCCACCATTCGCAATATCCTTGGTCTTACTAAAACTAATAACCTCTCTTGGAAACACTACATTCTTAACATTGCAAAATATTCATCCAGAAGAACTAAGTGACCTTTTTTAGCTCATTCGTACTTCCACACAACTTCTTACTCCTTTACAACTGCAGTGTCTGTCCCCATGAGGATTACTAATCTCACATACGAAGTGGCAAACAATGTCCTTTTTATCACTATTAGGCCACTCACTCACACAGTCTACAGACACTCTCTCTCTCTGCCTGGCTTGGCTAATCATAAGTAAGAGCCTACTACAGAAGTTCTTATTAAAGTTTTTATTCGCTTCTCTTATCATACATAGAATTCCATGGGTTAATTTTTTATACAGTAGCAACCTATTTTATGAGTAACTACAGTATATTCTTCCTGTATATCATTCAAAATAGCTAGAGAACATTTTGGTGGAAATTCCTATTCCAGGATGGTACAGTATTACATTTTACAAACATAACTCATAGCACCATCTACATATAATTAAGTAGGCAACACAGAAATGGAAATTTTTGTCTAATCTGATTCATGTAGTAACTTACCGGTAAAGCAAATATCAGACATATTATTCAATCCAGGCCGTGCAGATTAGCAGGGCCTGGAAGCCCGGCATGCCCAAATTATGAAGCCAGGAAAGCAATTTTCCATGTCCATGTGCCCAGGACTTGCCCAGTGAAGAAGCTAATATTTTGAGGTAAATACCTAGACGGAAACTTATCAGGTGCTGCATGACCCCCACCTCACTATAAATGTTTAATCTGGGAGGTCATTAGTGCACCAGGATTAGTGACCTACAGTAGTAGGTATTAGGCAGCTACCAAAGAGGGAGGTACTACCACCTGGGAAGATATTGGAAGCATAATGTGTTGTCTGTGGTAGATCTTGCTGCCACATGGCATCACGAAAATTGTGACCAAGTCCCAGGTTGCTGATCTGACTTTCTGCCTCATTTACACACAATTGCAGGTCTCAATTGTTTCTCTTACTATTGACAACACAACATACATATATTGTTCGTCACATTTTTTTTTTTTCATTCTGTATTTCTCTGTGGTTCTTTATTATTATTATTATTAATATTATTATTACATTTTCGCCCCCCAGGCCCCGATGTGAGTCAGTGACCTGTGCCTGGGTGGGCTAATTCCCGTAAAAAAAATAAAATAAAATATCAGGTGTAGGTAATTTATCTCTACATTAAGCCACCAACCTGCCTCTAGTCAGTCGGTCAACATTTCTAAGGAAACATCAAGCAGAGAGGTTGCAGACATGAGGTGAATGGAGTTATGACCTAACATGACAAGTATTACTGACATTGGTTTATAAGTGAGGGAAGGGAGTGATTGTTAGGGGAGGTATTCATAGATGCTGCCTCTCTACACACGCTGCATGTGTAAGGTGAGGTAACAGGAGTTATGACGTCACATGACAAGGTAACAAGGATTACCACCACAGACACCATTTAGATGGACACAAGTAATCTGTGAGTTAATACTTCCAAAAATTTGTCAGGAAAGGTAAAAAGATATACAGGCAAGTAATTTTTAAAAGATACTTGCCTAGGACAAATAAATGGTTCAGATAATCTACAAAGCCTAAATCAATCCCTGTGGTAGCATGTTGTCTCTCACCACTGTGGTCTTGGGTTCATATCAGTGTGACCCTACCAAACATTGCAGTTTTTCCAACTACTACTCCAATTTCCACCTGTACTAACATTGGACGATGGAGGTCATAACAAAGAACAAACCAATTTAACGGCTAGAAAGCTGCAAAGTGGTGGATGTGATGCAGGTTGCATTACTAAAATCCTGACACCTCAGTGCACTGCCATGAACAGCTGTTTATGCAAGCACTAAAAGACAACTTTTCATTGACATGACAATGCCTCTATTCCACACACAAAAAACTAGCAGCAACTTTGTCTGGGACTAATGTTCACTTCCCTACCACTGCTGATTTAGAAATGGTGGAGGAAATGGTTAGCGCCAGAAGGACTTTATGGAATTGAACCAAATTTTCAGATGCTGTTTGGATGATAATAAATAAAAAAATCGAAAATACAATGCACAAAACCTATTATAACCATACCTAACCTGTGCATTGTTGTTTTGATTTTCTTAATTTAGTATCATCCAAACATCTTTTGAAAAATTAACCAATTCATTCCAATATAAATTGTAATAAAACACACCCAATGAGATCGTTATCAATTGCTTGACATGTAAACAAAGACAGCGGACACTCCTGTATAGCAGATGACGTGAACCGAAACATGGTCATCATGGGAGGTCCGATGGTGCCATAATTACGATATACAAATTATTTCTTCCCTTATATAGCACACAGAGATGTGGAATTACTGCCATGTGATCAGTGTTCACAATGTTTTTACCCCATTATTTCCCTCTTCTTTCTTGCCCTGCCCACTAACAAGTAACTTATGATTGGAAGATAGGCTAAAAAGAAAAAAATACTACAATGCTGTCATTTCGATTTTATTACTCAGTTTTATCCAAACAACATCTCCTGAAAATTTGGTTCAACTCGATAAAGTCCTTCTGGCGGTAAACCGTCTCCTCCGCCATTACCGGAAATTTTGCTGAAAAGGTTACTCAGTTAAGATTCTTACACTGATCAGTGCAACCACAGTTTGACCCTAAACACAGTAGTGAAGATGTCTGCACCAAATATTTCACAAGATAAACCATAGATAAACAAAATTAAGAAAGTTGATATTCCTTAAAAATTATATTGATATTTGTAGGATAAACAAATTTTCTTCTAAATACAGTAATAACATGCACTGTTGTATACTGTACTCGAGAATTTAACAGGAAATGACCACTGAAGGACATACACTCTAATTTCTCCATAGGTGGTACTTTGTTCCTACTAAAACAAGATATATATACATCATTCAGACTTGTTTTAACCCAAAGGTTATCTGACTGCTATCTTAACACCCTCCTGCGCCGGTCTGTCCCCATTACCTTTCCCTCCCCCTGTCAACACTGGCCGGTCCACACTGCTGCTGACATCCTACGTTATCACCTCTACACCCCCTCGATCTCTCTCCCTCCCGAGTACACTCATCCGCCCCTACTGCAGTGGACTTCCCCAAGTGTTGATGTCGTCCACACCTTCCCTGGTCGTAAATCAACCCAAGTGCGGTAAATACTGTACTCAAACTTAACTGCCTTGAGCAGATTAATGATGTCGCCTCCTCCCTTCCTCTCCTTGTCTACTGTGTTGGGTCTGTTACCATGCTGAGCAGCGCTGGGGCAGCTGTGTGGATTCTTGAGCGCCAGGCCCGCAGGAAAATTTGGGTCCACGATTAGGCTTCTTCCACTGACACTGAGATCATAGCCATCCTCGCGGGCATTCATGAGGGGGCGGCCTATGCTCGCACTGAATGCCGGAACCTCCTCGTAATCAGTGACAGCATTTCTGTGCTAGCGAGGCTCAAATTACCCTCCTCCCCTGCCGCCCAACACACCCTAGCCGCTATCGCCAAGCTAGAACAAACTGACGACATCCGTGTCAAGTTTATTTGTATCCAATCACAAATAGGAATAACTGCCTGTGACACTGTTGATCATCTTGCCAAAGAAGCGACAAAAGAAGAAGACAATGCACCCTTGCCCTCTCCCGAAATCATCTCAAATCTCACATACATGCCGCATGACAAGAAGCATTGGACACACCTGAAACAATGGGGTAGCGCCACACTATGCCACTACGACGCTGTTACTGGTGATTACAACCGCCACTACAATGAGTATCAATCCCTGACTCGATCCCAACAGATTGTGTACATGAGACTGCGCCTAAGGTACAGGTACCTATGGGAATACATTGGCAACCTGAGCCTGGCCGCACTATTTGTAAACTTTGTGGCTAACCCGACTCTCACACCCTCTCTCACTTCATCCTCACTTGTTCTATGACCTCCTCCTACAGGTGCCTAGCCATTACCGGTACCTCTTCCCTCCCTGACCAAATATCCCTCCTCCTAGAGACAATCCTGACACTTAGTAGGAACCTGCCACGCTTTGCCATAAACAGATGAATTGTACTGGCAATTTTTCCCCACACACTCATTACCCTGTCACTTTATGTAACTTGCTGACAAAACCCATGACCCTTCAGGCTTTTATGCCTTTAATGCATGAGTCATGAAGGCAAGCATGAACTAGGCATGCTTCCTAGCTGGACGCTGTAAACGCTTAACCTTGCACAGGATGCAAGGGGGTGCCCAATAAACTAGCCCCTTCACGGGGCAAATTCAAATTAACCACTGGTTATTTGACTGGGATCTAAAATAAAACTACCCTTTTACTTCTGCCCACATGAAATTCTATATATTTTTTTACTGATAATTTCAAACTATTAGAATAAATCAGGTATTATTGTATTTCTGCACCCGACATTCCTACCTCTAATCTATTATCTATTCGAATATGACGTCTAATTATAAGATAATTTTCTTCTATTACATTATCGTTGCAAATGTATAATAACGGAGATAGCGTATCCAAAATTTTCTCTATTTTCTTCCATTAAACTTCCGCCATTATCACCTACCTCACCTCCCACACTGCGTGTCTCCTTCATAAATCATCACACGCATGTGTTCCCGTACACGTCATACGGCCAATCAAAAGCGTTTTTTGGGGGGCAACCAATTAAATGATTTGTGGTTTAATTGGCGGTATTTTTGGCCCAATCAAATTCGACTTTAATTTTGGGTCTCATATTTCGAAATTCAAATAATTTCCGACCAATTAAGTCTGTGATGGGTGTCACTTCAATTATATGGAGCCGATTGTGAGTTTTAGGGGGAAAAAACGAAGAAACTATAACATTTTTTTATCTCATGGCGTTCTCCCGACCTCAGTAAAGTGTCCTAAGTGCAAGAACGAATGCAAATATCGTCAAGACCAACATATGTGGCCTTGTGGTAACTCCAACGGCGAAGGAGAACCAGGCCAATAAGGTATGAAATAAGTGATTCCACCATATGGTGAGTGAGTTAGGTTAGGTCAGGTTTATGTTTTTGTAGTGTTTTTTGTGTATTTTGTATTCACTTAGCCATTATTTTTTACAGAAAACGCCCCACCAAAAAAATTTTGATTAAAAAAAAAATGCCAATTTCTGACTTAAATGAAGGTCATAACCATCACCACGACCTCATCTGCAAATTTGGTAAGAAGCTTCTACACCATCCCCGACACCGGCTCCTACTACCACCTGAGATCCCTAGTCCGAGAATTGCTGTTCGACACCACAACCGCATCCAGCCCATACGTGCACGAACTGATCGCTATAAGAACAGCCCAGTCCCAACCATTGTAAAAATTATCAATAACTTGTAATAAATCAGTGTATTCACTCCCAGTAAACACTACTTCTTGCACTGTCACTATGTTGAAATGAACTGTAGTTTGAGCTTTTCCCCATCTAGTTATTATATGTCTTATTTGTGTCACTTATGTTACTTGTATATTATTTGTAATTCGTAACCCATTCCCCAAATATGTAACTGTATATTTTCAGCCTTCTGGCTGCCAAGCTCTTTCAATAAACCGTTAATTATTATTTATTATTATTAAATACACTAAAAAAATATATAATTGTGATTTTCTAACAGAGTTGGGTGCGCTTATACAAATTTACCAAAAATCATTCAAATAGAAATGAGGTAAATTTTTAGTTTCAACCAACCACAGCTCTCGAGTTGAACAATGTGTTTTTCTGGTGGTTTAGATAATTTTAAGACTTCTTCTTTGACGTTTCCCTTGCAATTGACCTAAAATAACCTAACCTTACCTCCTAAATGAAGGGTTGGCCCCCACTGAATCCCCCATTATATTAAAGTCATTTGCGAGAGAAACATCATAGAAGAAATCTCTTAAAATTGTCTAAACCATCAGAAAAACACATTGCTCAACTCGAGCCGTGGTTGGGTGAAACTACAAATTTACCAGAAATAATACAAGTAAAATTAAGAAAACAAGGAAGCTAAAATCAGATTAAACTCTAAATCAATTTGTTAAGAAAACCAACACCTCAATTTTCAATAGTTATGATACTGTAGTATTGAGGTATCAGTAATAGCCCTCAAAAATGTTTAATCTGATCTGTCCATGAGAGAAGTGAGATGATTAAAGATAGTGACAAAGCATTCAACATTTAAATAATAGTGTAATGCCCACAGCCAATCCTGACCAGAATCCCATTAAAATCATACACAATCTCCGCTGCTCCCAGACAAATAGCCGAGTTATTCGGCCCGGAATCATGACATGGTTTCTTTTTAATTTACTAATAAGATGACAAACTTCAATGAAATTTTATTAATTGTATTTCCCTTGAGTGCACCTGTCACCTATTACTACATTAAATTAAAACATTTTATAAACTCAACCATGGGCTTTACAGTTGATGCCTATCCAGCACTTGTGGGATCACGTGCTACAACATCTAGAAAGATCATCTTTACACTAAGCACCATTCATTAAAGAAACAGAACATATAACTCCATTATAACTCGATCACTTGACAATAAAGCTCCACCTCCTCTCAAGTACGAGTGACAAGTGCAGCATGGTAAACCTCCACCATGTCTATACTCAACCTTATACTGGGGGTAATAAAACACCTTACCTCTACCTACCACTATCACAGAGACAACCTCAGATACAACTACTTACAAGATAATATTAATTATATCAAGCATGTCAGTATTTTGTTTACATTATCTACCTATCAGCTGGATATTTGTCAACAACGTTACACCACCACTAAGACCATCTACACCACCTCACATCTCATTTACGGAAAACATTAATAACCACAAGTTCTAGAATTAGTTAATAAATACATATAGGTTCATGAGTGTTAAATAAATACCTTATAATAGGCCCCATGAGGACCCAGGACCTCAACTAAGAGCTCGTCCATCTTGATATACCGGCTGGGAATGCTGGGGGACGACCACACAAACTTGTCTCAACTTACTACCAATGGACACTACTAACTCTATAGTCTTAATGGAGACACTACCTCCTTCTTATACATATATTTGTTTATAAATATTTTGCTTTAAGTCATATTTATCTTGGACTAAGGATGATATAAGCATTTTAACAGTGAAATGTTTCGTGTTTGCTCACACCAGAATACACCTCACCAGCAGTAGTGGTAAGATCAGCCAATCACAAGTCAGTTTACGCTTCACGTTAACCAATCACAATGCTTCTTAAAATCTTACAGGGAGAATAACTATAAATATTCTTTTGAGTATTTAAAAAAAAAGAGTAAATATCTTTAATATTATATGAAGATAATAGTGAGAAAATTTAAAGGAACAGTTTGTGATTTATAGAGAAATATTCCCGTTAATACAGTAAAACAACCGCGGCAACAAACTACGTTACTCATGCCGATTAAACTTGTACAGATCACGTCTAATACATTAAACCATATGACAGAATAACTTTTGATGAGTGAGATCAGTCTACTAACTCTACTAGGAAAATATAGAAGCTGTACATTAAAAGTTAATCCTGAATTCTGCTAACACTGGACTCTTGAAGATTAAGATAAAAATTAAGATGTGTATAATTTCTTGACACCCATGCCCAGTTAAGTAAATTAAATAAACTTAGATAAAATTAAGTGTGTTATTATATTGACCTTCTCAATTTCCCAGCGAATAGCAATTGGTTGCCCTGTTGAAATTCAAGTTGGATATTCACCTATTTAGCATCCCTTCATAATAACGCCATCTCTTCTCCACAGTTATACTCGAGTTCACTGGCTGGTAATAATCAAACTTCTGTTCACTGATCCTTCCAAGTTGAAAACGTATCACCGTGTTAAGCCAAGCTACTGTAGAAACAATGAGACACTATATTGTGTATCCCTCTCATAGGTAGACTTTTTATTCCAGTAAAACCACTGTTGATGTACACCACAAGACGATGATGGAGAGAGATTCCTTCAGTCAAGGACATGCACCGGTCAGGATAACATCATCCTTCCATGAGCCCAACACTGCACAACGCAGTTGTACAAAGACCGCGGGAGGCAGGGGGAGGATATGAGTGGAGGACGGTTGACCCAGGGACTAAAAACAGTTCATTGGGCACCCCCTTGTCATCCTGTGCAAGGTGAAGCGTTTACAGCGACCAGCTGGGAAGCTATGCGTAGTTCATGGTTGCTTTCATGACTCATGCATTAAAGGCGTAAAAGCCTGAAGGGTCATGGGGTTTGTCAGCAAGTTACATAAAGTGACAAGATAATGAGTGGGGGGTAAAATTCCCGGTACAATTTATTTGTTTATGGCAAAGCGTGGCAGGTCCCTAGTGCCAGGCCACCTGTGGTCATATCCTGCCCATACACCGACCCGGGTCGCCCTGACCCCAGATATTGATATTATTGATACTGAAACAGTTTATTTGGCCAGAAAAATACAATAACAATATTGACATGGGCGAGCCTGAACCCTCTTAATAGCACCTGATATATACTGTACTGTACATTTATCTCAAGGAATTATTATATAACATTTAGTTTCATCTGGTGTTAGTAAATACATACGTGAATGCTACTACGGTTTTTCCTTTTTATTTATTTATTTAATTAATTTATTTATTTATTTTCTTCGTCCCTTTGGGACATGTGATACGCCTCCTTACTGTTGGTGGTGCACCTTGTACACACTTCGTTACACTGAATCATAACCATTCCTTTGACCACTCCTGGAGCTGACAGAGATCCTTCTGTAGTTTTTCACAGCCCTTTTGGTCTTAATTTCCCTGAATAACTTGGCATCGTCCGCGAACATTTGTATGGAGGAGTGTATAGCTTCTGGTCGTGAAACAAATAAATAACAACGGGTCCAGTACAGTGGCCTGTGGTACCCAGCTTGTCACGGGCACGCATTACGACTTCGTGCTATTAATCACCACACATTTATACTTGCGGTCACAAAGAAAGTCTCTGGTCTACACTAGGACACTCCCGAATTTTGTACCCTTCCAGTTTAATGTTCAGCCTTTTATGGGGTACGCTGTCTCTCGTTAGCCTTGCCAGAGTCTATATATGCAGTATGTACAGTATTGTCGATATTCTCATCACGCTCCAGGATCTGGGTCCAAACATCCTGCACCTCAAGTAATTGCATCAAACAGGAATGTCCCAGCAACTCTGTTGGCAGTCCTTTAGTAGGTTGTTTCGTAGTAGATGTTCCATAAAGTTATCTTGTATAATGCTGTCTAGTACTTTGCACACTATGCAGGTCAAGCTCACTGGTTTGTGGTGTGAGGATCACCCTGTTTGAATGTAGGACTCACTATACCATTTTCCAATCACGTATTTGATTCTGTATTGGTAGTTAAAGTGATTTGGAAGAAAAACCGTAGTTGATAAACACAATAGGTTAAAAGACAATAATAATAATAATAATCTTGATTTTCAAAAGAATCTGGACGAGAAACAGAATACTGTAGACTGAAGTAGGGATAGAGACACAGTAAAGGAACGAACATTATACAGTGTACTTCAGGCTGCCAATGTGGTACAATACTTGAGAATATAAAGATTAGCTGTGGTAAAGGAAGAACAGCATGACAACATCGAAGAAATTGTGGAGAGAAGGAACATGGCAGAGAATAAATAAAGAGTAACATGTGTTGAATAACTAGATTGGATTTAGATTTAGGTAAGAAGATGAATGAAAACTTTTGGAATGGTGATAAACTGCCCCTTGGAAGAACACAAATGACGTACAGTATGTGAAGGAGAGTTGCTATAAGGGGAGATGTTTTAAATTAAGAGAGAGGCTAATAATAATAATAATAATAATAATAGAGTTCGGTGAGTGGTGATCAAGGGACAAGGGTGACCACCAGGCGATTAGTTTCTGATTTCTCTCGGGTGTGTAATGGTCTCCTCCCCCCTCCCTCCCGGACTTCCAGCTAGGAAGGAGGGATGTTATATGGCTGCTCGACAACGTAACTCCCGCATCATCTGTGTATTATTAGGTATAGGATCGTGGTTGAAGGCATTAGCCGTCGCTCTCATCCGTGTGTTGCCGCGTCCTCTCTCTTGACAAAGGTTTGGTTAGGTTATGATTACAGGAACGCCGTTGGTAATGTTGCTGAGGAAGATTTACTTAGTTCGTGGGGACATGAACACCGTGGGTTCTATTGCTGACTTTGGTTTAGTTAACTCAGGGTCACACAAAGCAGTTACATGATCTCGGGTTATACAGGATCAGTGATGGAGGCGGCGGTCTAATGGTTGGAACTGGTGGAGAAGGCTAGATTAGATGACTGACGTGTAATGGCAGAATAGAAGTGAGCAGAAGGAAAGGTGGCAGAAAGTAATGTGGATGAAGGGAAGGTCGCAGGGAGGGAGGCGGAGCTTGTCCATTCCTGTCAACCCTGGGAGGTCGTGACACACACACACACACACAACATGAGTCTAGTGTCTTGTCCCGGCAAACTCGGCCAATAGACAACCCTGTGTTTGACTCTTGATTATCGTCTCTACTAGCGAATGTAATACCGATTTTCAAGAAGGGGGATAGATCACTATCCTCTAACTACCGCCCAATCAGTCTAACATCAATAGTAGGCAAATTACTGGAAGCAATCATTTCAAATTCTATTCGAAATCACCTGGAGAAGCACCGATTGATCAATGATTCCCAGCATGACTTCACAAGCGGACGTTCTGTCTAACTGATCTATTAACATTCTTTTTATCAGTTTTCGAATCGGTGGACGAGGGGCACAATTATGATGTGGTATATCTCGACTTTAGCAAAGCCTTCGATGGATTAGGGCGTGGTTACAGGACAGGAAACAGCGAGTGAATATTAACGGCACTAAGTCCCATTGGAGCAACGTCACAAGTGGAGTTCCCCAAGGCCCAGTACTTGGACCATTATTATTTATTATATATATAAACGACATAGATATCGGCATAGACAGCAACATAAGTAAATTTGCTGATGACACTAAAATAGGACGTGTTATTAAATCTGACGAGGACTCAGCAAAACCACAGGAAGATCTAAAAAAAATTTTCGAATGGTCTGAAAAATGGCAGATGAAATTCAACGTGGACAAATGTAAAGTACTCAGTATTGGAGATGTAAACAGGGAAACCAGATACCAGATGAACAACGATGCCATAGAGAAATCCGACTGCGAGAGAGATTTAGGAGTAATGATAAGTAGGAACCTTAAGCCAAGTAAACAATGTGTTTTTGCTCGTAACAAGGCTAATAAAGTACTTGGGTTCATACAAAGGAGTGTTAGTTACAAGACTAGCAAGGTCATCCTAAAACTGTATCTTGCTCTTGTGAGACCACACCTGGATTACGCAGTTCAGTTCTGGTCACCGTATTACAGAATGGATATAGAATCATTGGAAAGAATTCAGAGGAGAATGACAAGACTAATCCCGGGCATTAGGAACCTTGAGTATAGAGACAGGTTAAAGCATCTTAATTTGCACTCCCTCGAGAGACGTAGAGCGAGGGGCGACCTGATAGAGGTGTATAAGTGGAAGGCAGGGCTAAACAAAGGGGACATTACAAAGGTACTCAAACTATCCAACCAGGAGCGAACGCGTAACAATGGTTTTAAATTGGACAAATTTAGATTTAGGCGTGAAATAGGTAAACACTGGTTTGGAAACAGAGTAGTGGGTGAATGGAACAAGTTACCAAATATCATCATTAACTCGAATACGCTGAATAGCTTCAAACATAGGTTGGATGCTTATATGAGCAATAGGGGTTGGGTGTAAACGGGACTGCCCAGTATGGGCCAATAGGGGTGCTGCAGTTTCCTCCATTCTTATGTTCTTATGTTCTTAGTGGTGGTCCCGCAGGGGCGCACCTAGGGGGGTTTCCTGGTTGCCTCTGAAGATGTCTTGAATAAAGATGAAAGCTAAGGTGCTCCGTTGTTTCCATCTTCCCGTGTGATTATATCAAGATTTATCTTATCCACGTTTTCATTGTGGATTTACATGAAATATATATATATACAGTATATATATATATATATATATATATATATATATATATATATATATATATATATATATATATATATATATACTGTATATATATATATGCAAGTATATCACTGCGCGTGATCTAGGTATATGCTGATAACCACAG